ACCCTGACTGCAGGGCAGGATGAGTGGGTTGGAAACAGCTTTTCAAGTCTTTTGGCCCCCACTGCTGATGTGACACTGAGGTTGTCTCACTAAACCAGAAATTAGCAGGGTCAGAGAGTAAAATGTTCAGTGGCTTTACCACTGTACCCACCTTTACTGACCCATGAAAAAACCAGTTGGAGGTAAGGGCTGGGTTCATGTAAGGAGGGGGGGTGGCAGAGCTTTTCTTGCCTTTCTCCCCTTTTTCATTTCTTTTGCCTCCTATGTGGTGAGGACTCAATGTCACCAGTCCACATAATCTGTAGTAAGTCACATCTTGAAATGCAGAGCAGCTTTGGGGGTCTGGAGGAATGTTGCTCTCTCAAACTCAGTTACTGACTCTTGTGCAGTGAAACCTCTGTGTTGTGTCTGTGTTGTGTTTGTCCCCCACCCACTCTCTCTGACAGGTATAATTCAGTGAACACAGATAGTAGAGGGAGAGCCTGTGAGGGATACTGTGCTATTTAAACTGGAGATACATTTGAATAAACAATTTGCAACTGGAAGGCAGGCATAAATTAATTGTTATTTGAATGACACACTTACTTTCCTTTTTCTAAAAGGTGTAATTCTTTATGTTTGACTTTCAGGATTACTTTCTCTAAATCACACAGACATTGCAGTAACTCACCTCAAAGCTAGCAGGGCTGAGTAGGATGAACACACATCTTACACTCATTGCCATGTGTTTAAATAACATTTGTCATCTTGTCTTCTCTGCTCTGAAATGAAAGCTTGGAATGAGCTGCATTTGGGCTGGAAAAACCAAACATTCACAGGAGACAGTTGTGGATGGTGGAGAGGAAAGGAGAGGAAAATCCCTCAACTTGACAGCATGCTTGGGCATTTATGTCTGGGGGATGAGGAGAAGCAGGAAGGGTCTGCAGTTGTACTCTCCCCACAGAAACCTTCAGATTATTGGTGTTTTTGTAAGGTGGTTGTCTTTAAAGTAATTTTTAATGAGGGCTGCTTATCAGCACATTTAACAATGTGACATTTGTGTTTGGAAAATACCACATCCCCAGCAAGAGCCCATACCCAGGGAGCCCAGGCAAGGAGATGCTGCTTGACGCTGAGACACGTCAAAGAGAAAAGTATTTTGGGCTTTGCTTATGAAGTGTGAGCCAGACCGTGCTCATGTTGCAGCTCTGACACCCCTTTGGCACAGAGACCCCCAGGGACTGGGGTGGGGGCCTTTATCCTCTGTACCTGTTTGCTGTTCCACGCTGGTATCAGTCACCGTGGCAGAGGCACGAGATGGGTTCGTGAAGTGGCACAAGTGTCCTGCAGAAGGGGCTGTTTTATCGGCACAAGCTGGACACAGCTGGAGATGGCTCAGAGATTTCTCTTCTTTGCACTGACTGCAGAACATGGGAGGAAGGTGGTGCTTTGGCTTTTTAGCCTGTGAGCCCACCAACCCTTCAGCTTGGGGGGGATGCAGAGGAGCCTGCAAGGGTGCTGTCCTGGGACCCCCAGCTTGTTGGGGTCTGCAAAGGCATCCCTCTGCCGTATTAAGGCCGGGCTGCTTGGCCCCGGCTGCAGGGAGGGGTGCCAGCTGCCTTTTCCAGCTTCTCTGGCATTTCAGGAATGCACGTCGCTCACTGAAGCTACATTTCAAAGCTTTTAACCCTTTGGTTGGCTGCATCCCACTGAATGTGGCCGCTCCAGGCTGGTGCTGGGGCACAGAGTGGCACAGCCCCCCTTGTGCCTGGGCACACCAGGAGGTCTCAGCTGGAGGAAGTGTTCCCCAAAGCAGCCAAGTCACACAGGACCATGCCTGGTGGGATGTAGCAGGTCCCCATGCATCTCCTTTTTTGCAGTTTATGCTCAAAAATGTGCAGCTTTGGGCCCATTTCCTTGCTGCTTCAAATGAACTTGTGTCATGGTGCAAATGGTTCATTTTGGTCAGGTACATGCCTTTGTATCTGGCCAGGTGGGAAGCACCAGGAGGTGACACTGCACTGTTTTAGGGAGAAATCCCTCTGCTAATGCTTTCAGGTTTGCTTCCTTCTCTACTAGACTTTTTCCCCTGAGAAGGCTGATCTGAGGTCCTCACAACCCCAGCAGAACCTTCTGGAGAACACTTTCAGTCTCTGGAAATGGAGTTATAGTATAGTATTGCTGTAGTATTGTGTTCCTGCCTCCTGTACTACATTGTGTAGGCTACAGAAATCCTCTCTGGCAGCTGTTGCGTGGATTTCAGAAGGGATTTCGCCCACTCAAACCCAAGCTATTGTGTTTGTTTGTATAAAGCTGTTTAGGAGAGAGATTGTATTAATTTAGTGATGCACCAAGTGGGCTTGGTTCTGCTCTTGCTAAAACCTGTGGGAGTTTCCTGATTAAATCTCTGAAACCACAGGAGACCTTTCAGCAATGTACTTCTGAGTTCCACCAGTGTTTTGAATTAAATCTACAGTGACACCAAAGACAGGAATTTCTTCATCATCTTTAAACTCACGCGTGCTGTGGATGTTTATGTCCAGTCTCCAGATGTGTTTGCCAGGTCGGTGCGGTGGCATTAAGCGGCTGTGTGACAAAGAAGCAGCAGGATGAATGGCTCAGTGCTCCAACCCTCTGTAAAAAGTTGAGCCCAAGTGTCAGCAGCGCCGGGCAGGTCTGTGCCTGCGGCAGCAGCCACGAGATGGTGCTCGGGGCATGCCAGGAGCCATGGGCAGCTGCAGCCTGGCCCCAGCCTGGCCCCCTTGTCCCCATCACTCAACCTGCACCTTGTCAGGGCTTTTCTGACCTGGGAGCCGTTGTTTCTCAGGTATAGCCGCGTTTTGTGCTTCCCAGGATAAGGTAGCTATTAAAAAAAAGGCATTTTGCAAAAGGTTGAGTCCCAACAGGAGGCCCCGGGGTGTTGGGGTGCAGAGCTGGAGCTGTGCTGGTGCTGAAGTGCAGGGGTGGGATGGCTGTGCAGGCAGCTGGGGCTTGGGAGAGCCAAGCTGATGAATCTGTGATGCCTCTACCTGGAAAAACTGCTTATGCCTGGAAAAGGAATATACACAGGCGTGTGTTCCTGTGCTGTAGGCATAAACACAAACACCTCCTTTCTCCTCTCCTTGTTCCTGTGTCATCTCTTCAGTGCAGCATCTTGCATGGTTGCCAGCCGTTAATGGAGATGGATGTGGGGAATGTCTAGTGTTGGGGACCCAGCTGGAGGTGCAAAGAGCTCCTGGACATGGAACTCCTGCTCTGAGATAGCCTTGGAGTGGAAATCTGCCTCAGTTCTGTAATTAAACTGTGTATTTCAGGTCAGGGCAGATTGCTACTGCACCAGTATAGATCTGGGGTTGCCTTTGCATCCCCATGTGTCTGAGTAGATCTCATCCTCTAGTTTAGAGCTTAAGCAGAGTTTAATCCAAGCCCCTGAGTATCCCCAAGCCCCTCAGTGTGCCCTGATAGCTCTTGTGGCTAAATGTCCACATGCCTCTTGCTTTCCATCCTAGCAAAGCATCTTCCCTGAGCTGGCCCCACCTCTAAAAGCCTGCTGAAGTCCCACTTTCTCCCCAAAACCCACGTGAAATGGGCTGTGATTGCCTGGGCTTGCCTGGCAGCGTGAGGATGGAAGATTAGCAGGGAGCTGACAGACAGGGAGCCAGCCACTAGGACTGTGCTCGAAGCTGGGTAAAAACATGATGTGTAGGAGATGAATGCGGGAAGGAAAATTCATGGTGTTTACCCATGGCACTGGAAAAACAGATGTACAGCAAAGCAGAGTGCTGCTGGTGTTATCTTGGTGATCTCACTTTCGGAGGCTGTGCCTGGGTTTGGTAGTGCCTGTTCTGGCTGCCAGTTCTGGGAATTGAGGACTTGCGTGGTGCTTGCAGAGCAGCACAGCCCATCACTGGGGCTGTGATGAATGGCAGCAGCCCAGAGCTCAGATGGTGCTGGTGTGCTCTGTGCTGCTGCTGTAGCTGCCAGCAGGCAGTGGGGGCAGCCCATGGCTCTGGCCCCAACCTGAGTTTGAGTTTGGTGCTTGCCTTGTGCTGGAGCATCATCAGCTGTTCCACAGGTCCTGAGTGTAGGGACATGTTCCTCTGAAGACAAGCGTGCAGCAGTTCTGTCCCTCTTCCCCTCCCTTTAATCACTCTGGTAAACTTTGTCATTCCATAAATCTTGCAGCAAGTGAATGCATATTTCTTTCCTAAGTGCTGATGAAAAAGCTGAGTGCAGCTTGTCTGCCCTCCTCTGCAGAGCTGCCCTGGCAGTTTAATCTAGTCTGTGGGGGCTTTGCTGACTCTCATGGTACCTGTGTAAATCAGGATACCCTGTGGTGCAGAGCCCAGCACTGTACCAAAGTCAAGGTACGTTCTGTCTGAGCAGTTACTTTGATCCCTAAGGCTGCATCTCATCAAAGACTGAAATCAGGATTGTTTGACAACACCTATTTTCCATTAGCAATGTTGACAGCATTAATTATATTCTGATGCTTTAATTCTTTATTACTGAAATCACACATCAGTGATAGTCATTATTTTGCAAGGGGGTTGATGTTATGCTAATCAGCTTGCAGTTAACTGGGTCATCCCACTCATTTTTTTGGCTGTGGGCACAACACTACTGCTCTTGTACTGGAGTCTCTGTGGTCTGCCAAGATTTATTTTAAACAAACATGAGCAAGCCAGAATTTCTGAGCCAGCTTTTTTAGGACTCTTGGGTGCAAGTTATGTGAAAATATTTATCTCTATTGTATACTGTTTAACATCTTCCTTGGTTACTAATGGACTGGAAAGGACTTCATTGTCCTCAAGTGATACAACTACATCATCTTGCAAAGTCAGAGCAAAAATGTTTATGGGAATCTTCTGTCCTTTCTTTGTCATTGTTAGCTGTCTTGTGCTCTCTGTTTTGGAAAGGGCTGGTGCCTGTCTTGGGATTTCTGAGTTTGTACTGAACTTTAAAGATCTCCTCTCTATTAGCCCATCACATCTTGGTCTTCTGTGTTCTCATTCCTGCAGGTACAGTCCCCAGATCACAAGGAATGGAGCAAAAGCCCAGGCTGGCAACCATGAGGTGAAGGTGAAAGGTCCAGAGCCGGTGATCAGCCAGATCATTGACAAGCTGAAACACATCAACCAGGTTTGCTGGAGACGTGCCAGCAGGGATGGCTCAGTGGGCGGTTTCCAAATCGGGTTGGCCTCCCCCTCACTCTCCCTGGGCTCAAGCAGACATCCTGGGTGTCTCCATCTGCAGCAGCCCTGGCAGCCCTGTGTGCACAGCCAGTGCCACCCCAGCCCTGCACAGCACCAGGCCCACAGGGCACACGTGGCAGGTCCTGCTGGATGCCTGCTGGTGTGGTTCTGCGTGCTGCAGCCTCAGCACTCAGCCTGTGCCTGGGTCGTGTGTGGATGCATGGCTGCAGTACAAGAATGCTTCTGCTGGGCATCTGTGCCTTAGCAGTGGAAGTCCAGGCCAGATGGAGCTGATGAGGTGCACTTGAGCAGGATGTGCTGGCTGGGGCTCATGTGGCACATACCTGATGTCCCCTCTGATTGGAGGAGTTCCTTATGGCATTGCTTATGGCTGGCAAGATGGATCACTTTTTTCTTTGCTGTAGATCCCTGGGCATTCTCTCCCAGTCAGCAATGGGGCAAGTTACTGTTGAGTGGGGAAATGGCAGAGCTGGATGAGATCCTTTCTGCTGGGGAGGAAGCTTCCTTCCCACTGCCTCAGACCTGGCATCCTTCCTGGGACAGGCAGTGTCTTGTCTCTCCCCATTATGCCACACCAGGTTAGGCCTGTGAACAAGCCCTGCTGCTGCCAGGGGATTAGGTGGCAACTCTGCAGATTGTTCAGCTTGTGTCTGAGCCTCCCCAGCACTGCCTTGGGCCAGCGGGGCTGGGGTCTGGCTCTGGACTCTGCTCTGCCCTGTGTGTCACTGAGTGTGGATGTCACAGGAGCTCATAGGGGTGTTTTTCATAGGCAGATAGGCTGGGCTTGCTGCTTTTCCAGGACACACTCTGGGACCTCACAGGGCAAATCCTTGGGTGCTAACACTGCTAACACAGCTGAGCTGCCCCATCTCTCCTGAGAGAGCTCTTCCCAGAGGGGTCCTTGCCCATGGTCACCGTGGCACGAAGCTCTGGGCAGCAGTGGGTCCCTGGGGTTAAGCCCAGCTTTGCTTCCCAGCCGGGTGGGCTGTGAGGGCGGCTCTCTTTGGAGCTGCTGGCTTAGCAACTTTTCTGCTAACCTCTGCTTTCCTGCTCTGAGACTGCCAGGGACTGTTTTCACAGCCATTCCCGTTTAACCCTGCGCCCTCCGAGGCAGGCATGCCTCATTAGGTGCTGTCTGGGAGCAGGATGCAGAGAGGGATTCAGGGTCCCCAGGAGCACCCCACAAAGCAGGAGCTGCCGTGGGCAGTGGTCCTACAGCCTGCTCTGCCTTCCCACATGCTCCCAGTGCCATCTGCCAACAGCCCATAATTATTAGAAGGGGAAAAGCGGGGGGAATAGCGTAATCAGCTACCTATTAAATGGGGTAGAGGGCAGGCTTCAACCTGCAGGTGATAATGATATTTTGCCATTCACAGTGAGAAAGTTGCAGTGAACAAAACATGGTTATTATGTACTTGAAACTGCTGACATAAAGTGGTTGTGAAATGCTGGCTGCCAGACTGGGTCAAGTTAGGTCTTTGCTGAACAGCTTGGGCTTCTGAGGAGTGGAGGTCTGTGGAGTGGGAGACCCTGGGTAAACAGTGCTGTGCTCAGCTCAGCTGTTTGCAGCAGCAGAGTGTCTCTGTCAGCTGCTGCTCAGAGAAGAATTGTGGTGAGGGGGTGAGTATGGTCAGCTCAGTCACAATCTCTTACAGTGCTTCCCCCCACCAGCTTGCAGTGTCAGGCTGGAATGTGTTAAGGGGGGCAAGTAAGCTGTTTTGGTTTGAACTGCATAAATGTATAAGAGCCTGAGAAACGTCAAACCCTCTTGTAAAGCTGTGTTTGAGAAAGAGGAGGAACTGAGAATAAAATCAGGAGAAAATGGGAAGTGATTTGTGCAAATTAGTTACGAAGCTTGCCCAGAGAAAGCTGTAGGTGCCCTGTTCCTGGAAGTGCTCATGGCCAGGATGGGGCTTGGAGGAAACTGGTCTAAGAAAGGTGTCCCTGCCCATGGCAGGGGATGGGAACTATGTGATCTATGAGATCCCTTCCCACCCAAACCAATCTGTAATTCTATGATATGATTCTGTTCCTGTGGAGGGTCTGTAGTCAATGGTCAGTAGCTTATATAGCAGGAAAGCAACTGTGGAGGTTACTTAAATTTGGGATTTGGGGTGTCAGAGCTTACCATCACACTTATTTTCTTGGCTGAAGGAAGTTTTGAGCTCTCTTTCACATCTGGAATGCATCTTGATTGCCAAAGAGTATTAAATGTGGAAGGATCAGCAGCTCTGGATGAATTACAGTTCTGTCTCTCAGGTGTTGGCTTCAGATTTGGGAAACAGTGGGAACTCCTGAGCTGGAGAGGTTTGAAAATCTGCTTATCCACCAAGCTCGAGCCAACAGTGGCTTTTAAGGATTTTCAGACATCCAGGATCTTCTGGAGAAAAGACCATCTTTGTGGTGCTCAGAGCTGTAAACTGGATTCCCATGTGACTACCTTTAAATTATGAATCTTGTACAATGTTGTGGCTTCCTCCCAGTGTGTTGTGTTGGAAATACAGCCTGGACTTTGTGGGTGTGGGCAGACTTAGGAACCATGCTGTTTGGTTCAATTTTCATAGAGATCCACAGCTTTTATTTTTACTTGGAGATTTTTTTGCTAAATAACTGTAATTTGCTGATGACTTCACCTTTATTCCAGGATGCTCGTGCTGCTGGAAGTGTCTGTTCTTTCAGTGTTGTGTGTATAAATTGTGCTTGCTCTTTAGTTCGTGTCCTCTCAAACCTAATTTGGGTAAATGTACATGCATTCTCATGAGAAATTCTCATGAAACGTTTGCAGTTTGAAATGAAAATGAGGTTTGTACATTAGAATTAAACCCATGGGGATTGAAAGAAGTAGAGTAAACCTAACCCAGAGAAAAGGGGAAGGGAAAGTGCCCCAGACTGTATTTTTTTGCTTTGAGCACCTTTGAGCTCAAAAATAAATAAATAAGTGAATTAAACACAGTGCCTGAGCTGTGTGCTGTCTCAAGGCAGCCCTTTCTGGATGAGTCCCCCTCAGTGCTGCCTATTCGTCACATCAGACCATTTTTGTTTCACCCAAATGTGTGATTCTGGCTGATGCTATTTTTTGTGCATTGGTGGGTGAGATGCTTTATTATTGCCATATTGGAATTTTTTTTCCCCCCAGTTCTGTTAGATGTCTACCGAGTTTTGATTTGAGTTATTTTTGTTATGTGCCCAGAGGCACGAACAGCCCATCCATAAATATTAGCATTGTTATCTCAGCTGGGAGGCTAAGGGTCACCTTCAGGAAAACGAGTTGGAATTGGTTCCTAACTTTTATTTCCCAGAGTGGATGGGGTCTGCTTCTAGCTAGCAGGGTTTCACTCATCCCTTGAGTGAAACTATATAGAAACTGAAAGGTTATTCAGTGTCAGCACAGGGTCTGGCTCAGGTTTTTTGTGGCTTGGTGACATCCCCAGGCAGAAAGCTGTGTGCAGGGTGAGCCATTTCCTTTGGTCACTCCGTTTTCCTCCAGCCACAGGGACGTTTGAGTGGCTGCCAGATGGGGCTGAGCTGCAGGTTCTAACAGCTGTGCATGGAGGTGGGAGCTGGGGTGCCACATGTCCCACGTCCTGGCAGCCCTGCCACGCCGGTGACCTCGTGTTGGGCACCCTCCTCCACTGAGAGAGGAGCTGGGTGATGCTGGTGTAAGGATGCAGCAGGCATCTGTGGTACCACATTGGCTGATGTGACACTCCTGGTCCTCCCTCCTGTCCCTGCCTGTCCTGAAGTGACTTTTATGTCCTTTGCAGTGCCTGTGGGGCTCTGACACTGTTGCAGCAGATGCTTTACTTCATCCTTAATGCCATTACCTCTTTAAGCTTGTGCCCAGTTGCAATCTCTTTTTTATGCTTAGGTAAATCCTGGTGTTTATCATAGTACTGTCTCAAGGAGGAAGAGCACAATTTTTTAAGAAAAGGAGGGGAAAAACACCACAAAAATTAATAGTAAAATCCATAAAAGGAAACTTAGCTGGGGAAGATGTCTTTACAGAATTGAATGGCCTGGAAACATATTGTACATTTCCAGACACTCGAGTTAAGGGCTCATTTAGAATATTTCAGATATACTGGAGTTTGACAGTTCTTTGGTTTCCACATCAAACAATCTGTAATTTATTGCCCCATATAGGGACTGTGTTTTTATCATATTGCATATTTTCTAGCCAGAAATCTAACTACCATATAAGCTCTTGAAAAAATAAACCCTTTGGGGATGGGAATCCAGGCAATATGCTTTCACAGACCCTGAGAAACTCCCTTTGATTTATTTCCTTGCAAATAAGGGGAAGACACAGTTTCTTGGAGTATTACAGCTGTTCCCCCAAGCAGGGTCTCGCTGCCTTTCTTTATGTGCCCGGTGTAAAGACCCAGTCCTGAGTGAGCCCCATGTGGAAGAGCCTCACGTTGCTCCTGGAGGGGTTTGCAGGAGGATGAGAACAAAATTTAGAAGTTTTACGAGGCAGTAAAACACACAGCTATACTTGGAAGGGGAAAGGAAAAAAAAAAAAAGCCTGGAGGCCCAGAGGTGTGAATGACCGAAGACAAAATAGACCTGAAGTTCACAAAAAAAAGCACGTCCTGGCATTTCCAGAGCCGTGTTTGAAGCTGGTTTGATCAACCAATATGTCCCATATTTGTTTGGAGGTTTAATGGGCTGTTTCCCGGCGGCCTGGCTGCTGGGAGAGGGCATGGTGGAGGTCACCCAGAAGTTAATTTGGAAAGAGGCCAAAAGGCCACAACTTGATTGAATCAAATGTAAACAAAATAGGCCTGGGAACGGTGTGATGCCCTTGTGCCTGGGTCCCCTGCAACCTCTGTGCTCAAAATACAGAGTGGTGGAGCACTGGGACCAGCGAGGAGGGTCTGACCCCACCATGGGGAGACAAGCTCAGGGTGGCAGAGGGACCCAGAC